TCCTTTCCCTCCCCTCTGGCCACCCACCTGTCCCCCCTCAGCTTCATCTGCCTTTAGGAGGAAGTTCCCAGGATGTACAAGTGGGTCAGAAATGTCTGCACGATCTGCTTTATCTGAAAGCTAGCAGGTGTTCTGCGATGAGGCACCAGCCTGGGAGCCAGCGTGGACCCTGGCTGAGCCCGGCCTGCACCTCCCACTGCTGTCAGACAGAGACGAGAGCAGACCCCGGCAGAGGGGACATGGGCAGCCCTTCTGAGGGTCCACGCAGTGTCCCACAGGCCTGGAGAGGACTGGCCGTGGGGTCAGACACTGCATGCCCCACGCCAGGCCAGCTGAGCAAGCTAGGAGGGGTGTGTGTCCCCTGTGTGTCTGGGGCCAACGGCTCAAGCTCCCAGGGGCTCATTCCTTTGCCTATAAAACGAGGCACATTGATGAGTTGAGGCCCGGGCAGGGCCCCGGGGTGGGGGACAAGGGCTCTGAGCAGGAGATGAGAGGCCCAGGGCTCAGGTCCGGCTAGCACACTTCACACAGAAGCCAGGGGCCACCTGAAGGTACTGTTGGGATGTATAACATGTACACACTGGTAAGTACTTTGGGGTTAAACTTTAATGCAATGAACTTGTGGGGAAATGAGCCAAGACGTTTGGTGGAAAAGGTGGACCTGGAGCTCACTGTGTGGCTGAGGCTGCTGGGCGGAAGGAAGGCTGCATGTCCAGGTCCACCTACACGCTCCAGCCGCCCTGAGAGCTGGGGCGGGCCGGCGGGCATCGGACCGAGGAGGGCCCTTGGGGGCTGGAGTTGGGCCCTCACGTGGTCAGCCCCAACTCTGGAACCTGCAGAGGCCTGCCTGCCACTTAGGCCCTGCTCTGGCCGCTGTGGGGCAATCCGTGTGACACCTGGCTCAATTCCCGCCTCCACTCCCCCCTTCTCACTCTACTCCGATGTCTGGACTGAGAAATGCAAACAAGAACAGAATCTACTCCCCTCTCCCCGTCTGGAGGTGGAGATGTGTTTTCATCAGGGCATCCTCAGAGGAGGATGGCCGACTTAACCGGGGTCCCTCTAGCGACGAGCAGGACGGCTGAGGGCCCCCTCTCAGTGGAGGTCCAAACTCCCTGCCCCCAGGCAGGGCCATCCTGGTCGGCGGCCGCTCCCAGGGGTTGAGGTGGTTTCTCCCACAGTCCCGAGAGGTTCTGTCGGGGGCAAAAAGCTGCATTGTCATCAACACGTGGCCTTGGTGCGGGACTGTCTGCGAAGGACACGCGGTCCCCAGGCGGGGAGTCCTGGCCACGGGGACCCGACAAAGGGAAGCTCCAGGCCCTGCATGGCCCCGACCTATGACCTATAGAAAACCAACTGAAACATCTCACACGAAAAGATCAACTCCCCAAGACCCCAAAAATGTGTTACGATTTATTTTTCTCATTTGATGCAATTCTGAGGTCCCAACTTGGAATTCTTTTTATCCTGTGAGCTCTATGTTGCCAGTCCTAACTGGAAAAACAGTGGGCGTGGACCTTCATCCCCAGCAAGGCCCCAGGACCCGCCTCTGATGGTATGGAACCACTCAGAACCATGGGGCCTCCTGTCCGTGTCTGTCTGCCAGGGCCCTCAGCCACAGGGCAGGACTGGACGGACAGGGCAGCTTCCTTTCAGAGGCGGAATTCATGCTGTGAAAGCAGCAACAAGCAAGAACCCTGAGGAAGCTCCCGCCCTGTGTGAGCGCACAGAGCTTTTCTAGAATCCCAAGTGTTCTGTTCCGCCCTGCGTGCTGCCCTCAGGGCGGCCCGGGTGAGTGCACGGGTCTCCTAGGAGCTGTGCCTCTGTTCACGGCCCTGCCTTTACCCGGAAGCTTTTCCCTACTAAACACTCAGCCCCAGAGAGGGTCAGGGAGCCGACGGCCCTGGGCCCACGCAGACCAGCAGCCAGACGACCCACCCGACCGAGGCCTCTGCACTTGGCTCCTGACAGGGTGAAGGTGGAAGTGGGTGTCACCCCTGGGAGCAGCGGGTGGGAGGTTTATCTGCTGTTACTGAAGGCAACATCAGAGCTGAGACAGCAGGTGGGGAAGGCGACAAGAGGGTGAGACAGGTGTGGGCCCTTCCCAGTTCTCTGCCTCTGCCCAGCCACCAACGCTGTCACCCTTCAGTTCCATCCCTGAAACGCCTGGGGTCTTGCAGGGAGGCGGCACCGGCCTGCCCTGGGGGCTCAGTGTGAGAGCTGTGCCTTCCCCGGGTCCCTGTCCCAGCAGGAAAGCCACCCGGTCCCCCTACTTCCACCCAATCTCAAAGGAAAGCCCAAGATGAGGTTTGCTCTTACACATTTGCACATGGAAGTGAATTTCAGGGGTGGGATTTAAATGGGTTTATGTCCATCGTCTTGTATGTTTCAACAGCACATGTCATGAGCTTGAAGGGAATCTGCCTGTCTCCCCGGCAACCTGAGGCCGTGTCTGCCGTGTCAGGTGGACCAGGCCCCCAAGCCCGGACGAGGACGTTACAGCCTCACCACGGAGGTCTGAGAGAGGGACACAGACCAAAGCCCCTTCAGTCAGGTGACCCTCTCCTGATGAATGCCACGCCTCATCCCCCCCACAGGGCCCAACAGGGCAGGGTGTCTTTGGAACTCAGGTGGCAATCCGGTCTCAGTGACGGGGGTGCTGGTGGAGACGCTCTGAGTGGCCTCCGGGGGGCAAGACGCAAGGGCAGGCGCCTGGTTCCATGCCCACTCCCACCTGCTCAGTGTGGTGAGTACACTCAGTTCCAAAGCTAAGGAGGCGGCAATCACGGCGAGGAAAACACCAGAACAAAACTGCTGCTTGAGCTCTAGTATATCATTCGTTCATTTATTTATCTTCAGCACCACATAAGGACAGCCCCACAAGTCAGGCATGGAGTCAGATGCAGGTGGAGGTCCCTGCTCTCGGGGAGCTCACAGGCTAGGGGCGTGTTGAGCGATCACAACCCCACAGGCTTGGTGGACCCCACCCAGGAGGGCAGGGAAGGCTGGGTGCTCCCAAGGCAGCGAGGGCACCTGCAGTTTCGTAGATAAGGAGGAAATTTCAGAGACAAGTGGAGAAAAGAGATGAGGGCCTGATCAATAGGGCTCACTCCCCCAGAAAGGCTTGGAAGTCCAGGCCTCAGGGAGCCTGATGGTCCCTGCTAATGGGATGGACCAGGGGAAGCTGGGGCACCAGCCAGAGGGAGAGGGGCCCAGGTGAGATGTCATTGAAAGCATGGTGATGAAGGTGCTGGAGGACCCAGGGCAGACACAGAGCGTGGTGATGGAGGGCCTGGGGCAGACATAGAGGGTGGGGCCAGAGCTGTTGGGGCAGAGGGTGGCTTTGAGCTCTGTGGGAGTGAGACTGCAGCACTGAATGGCTGTGCAGGTAGGTGACCCTGATGGCACATGGACAGCCCAGCATCACCCTGGGGTCCCAGTTATGTGTCCTAGGAGGTCCCCTGGAAGAGGGTGTGCATGTCACACACAGGCTCCTTCCCCTCTGACACAGGTCGTGTGTAACCCTCGGTGCTTGTGAACTTGGAGCAGGGACTGTAGAGCTATTTTCTAAACTGCTTTACAATGAAACTTTTCTTTATAAGGCCTAGGTTTTCTTTAAAACATTCAATATCTGGTCAATCATGCTTGAAGTTTAATTAGAACATAATCATTACATTTTCAAAAAAAAAAAAAGAGAGACTAAATGTTTTCTTTTTCAGCGCTATTGTACCTTATTCCAGAACGGACAGGATTCATGACCTATGTGCAACACAGACCACAAAGCCCGCAGCCGCACGTTGGGGACACGCCCTCCCCTGGAGCCAGCTCCCGGAGCTGCTGACAGCCACACCACTGCTCCGTGCACACATGCACAATAGGGCACTTTTACAACAAGATCTTCGTTTTCACACCTTCCAAAGCATGGCTCGTGTTTGCCTCAAGGACAGTTCATTCCCACTGTTTGGTATCAACATCGACATTCTAGAGCTTTCCATAGCCTGGTCTATTGTAAATGGCATTTTACGTTTAGAGAGAACAGAAACCTTCTAAAAGTCTCCCCTTTGCGATACTAAGATAACGACACGGCTGCTCTTGCAATCGGTGTTTGGAGTATAATTTCCCCCTTCACGCTTGTCTTTTGAGAACGAAGGCGACAGTATTAAAAGATTGTCTGCATAGCTGGGCTTCCACAAAACTCAAACCCAGGACGGCAGGTGCCATCCTGTGCACACGGCCCTCACGGGTGGGAACACAAACGATGCTCTTGTCTTTCATCACGGACCCTAAAAAGCGGACCAGTGATCTGGGGTTTTTAAGAAAGGGATAAGAAGCCATCCTGAACACGGGCGGACGGACAATCCGTACGAGAGAGTACTCTGTGGCCGAGTAAAAAGGTAAAAAGCCTCATGGTCACAGGACGTTGCAATTACTCACGGAACAAAGTCATGTGGGTTTTAGCAGGAGTGCAAAAACATCAATGTGACTTAATGACCACATCAGGCAGCAGCCTTTAGGCTTAATAGCAAGGGTTTATTTCTAAAGGCACCTGCAAAATAATTATAGCTGTTTGCTCCCTGCCTCACACCGCTATAGAATTTAAACGCACAGGAGCCCGCTCAGCTCTGAGTGCAGGAGAGCCGCACTTTCTCCCCCCTCCCCCGCCCCAGCTGTTCCATACTTGCAAACAGCCGGCAAAATGATCAGCAATTACCCCAATACGCGCCCTCCCTTCCCCCTTTCTCCCCTCCTCCCCCTCCCCACCCCCTCCACCGCCAAACCCCCAACATTAATAAAGGAAAATACACCGGAAGGTTCTCTATTTTTTTTTTTTTTTAAAGAATTGGCAACATGGTCTTGCTAACAGGATGGTAACACAGCTTAAAGGTACAGTGCGGCCGTGCTGTTTTGCAGCGACAGCAGCTCATCGTTTCTGCGTCTCTTTCAGAAAAAGCACCCCACCGGTTCGTTCGCAGCACGTAAGGTTAGAAAGATAGCGTTACCATTGGCAGGCAGGTAGGTGAAGGGCTGGTACTGGCTTCGCTTCCTCTTCCCGTTGCACACGTAGAAGCTGACTTGGACGGGGCTGGTGATTCTCTGGTTGCGAAACGGCGGTATCTCGACCACCAGCGAGTTCTAGTGCGAGAGGGCAGACGGGAGGGGCCGTTAGAGGCTCTGCCCTGAGAGGGTTCGTCCGCGCGGAGAACCGCTCCCACGGCGGGGCTGCTGGAAGAAGCTACCCGCCGAGAGCCGCGCGTGAGCGGGCACACGCGTGTGCAGGCCGGCCTGCTGGTCACACATGGGCTAGCAGGGAAGAGGGTCCCGATGTCCCCCACACCCAGAGCTGAGGGGTGGTCTGAGGTGGCGTGTGCAGGGGACGCAGGCTGGGGGTCTCACCTAAGATGCCACTGGCTTGGTGCAGGAGAGGGACCGGTGCAGATGCTGAGAGGGGACCAGCCACACGGCCGCTGGCCCCAAATGCTTCCATCTGCCCTACCGCAAAGGGTCGGGGCCCTTTGAAAATGGGAACAGAGCCCCCCTTGCGCTGACTCCTGGATGGAGCCAGGGGCACCTGTCCAGGTAACTGGCCAAGAAGACCCAGGGCAGGTGCTTCTGGAGATGTGTCTGCGGACAGGGTCTGTGAGGACAACGGCCTGGAGCCTCTCACGAACGCCCAGACTCCCTCTAACTGAAGAAGGTGGAGAGCTGGGCGCCTGGCCGCCAGGAGGTGGAGCCCGAGATGGAACAGCAGGGCGGCTCACAGGGCTGCTGTACTTTCCTATGTATTAAAACAAAGACCAGCAACCGTGGCGCATCATGCTCTTTCAGGCACAGCTATAAAAGCAAGGTGCACGGAGGCCGCGGGGCCCTGAGGGGCAGAGATGGCGAGGTGGGTACACCCGAATCCCGGCCACCTGCGGGCTCCCGGGCCGTCCCTGTGTGGCTGTAAGCAGGTCAGCAACACATGGTCCATGGGCCACAAGCTCCGCAGGAGGAGGGGGAGCTGCACTGGATTTGGGGGGGGTCGGGTAGGGGAACATTTCACATCCAAAAAGTTCCACCGTTTTTGTTTTTTTGTTTGTGTGTGTGTGTGTGTGCGTGTGTGTCATATGATTTCAGTTAACAAGCAGGAAAAATGTACATGAAAAATCCAATGTATAATTATTTTTTTTTTGTTAAAGTGATTGTAGCTTGTTCCCCAGATTAATAGCAAAATTGATTGAAGTATGTTAGCAACGGAACCTTGAGAATGCTAAAACAGAAAACTGAAGAGAACTTCAGGCCGAGCCTTTTCCTTTTACAGGCAGAGAAACCGAGGCACCGAAGCCGGCTGCTGAGGGCACAAGGATGGCAGGGCGAGGGGGGGGGGTCCCGTGAGACCATGCTGGCTCTGGGCCACATGCTTCTGTTGTTTTAACAACGTCGTGCCATTCAGGAGAAGCAACAAGCACACCGTCTCCTTCTGACTCAGCCTGCCGTTCCCTTCACCAAAACGTGACCCCGAAGCCAGAGGGGCCGAGGGGGTGACGCTGGGAATGAGTTGTGCACCTGCAGCCCAGGGGTGGCAGCCTGGCTCCAGGTCACCCAGGTCTGGGTTCGGCCACAGTGCTGACACGCCTGAGTCTCAGTTTCCCGTTCGTACCCGTCAGGTACAGATCAAGTCGCTATCTCTCAGGTCATTTCCCGAGGACTGGCCGGAGGAGGCACCGTGGTGGTGATGGGCCTGGCTGGCACGTGGCTGGCATCATGGAGGAGCCGACAGTAAACAAGCCTGACCTCCACAGAGGAGACTCCGAGGAGAGACGGGAAAGCAGAGCTCTTTCTCGGGTTGAGGTTGGAACTAAGAGAGGTGTGAGGAGGCAGGGACGGCGGTGGCTCCGGGAGCCGGGAGGTGCCAGGCGGGGCAACGCGCCCTCGGAGCACACTGGGTTCCGTGGGGTTGGGGTTTGTAATTCTAAGTGACGGGAGGGCGGGCTCTGATGTGGGCGCGGGCTGATATGGGGCCCACTCTCTACACAGACAAATCCTGTGACAAACGCTATCCTCCCCGGAGCACCGGGCTGTGCCCAGCAGGGGGCAGTGAGGAAGCAAGTGCAGGGGCAGAAATAAGGCTAACAAGGGACACTTGCTAGAGCAGGGGGCTTGCTTTAAGAATACCCACTGTCGCCGAAACCGGTTTGGCTCAATGGATAGAGCGTCGGCTTGGGGACTGAAGGGTCCCGGGTTCGATTCCGGTCAAGGGCATGTACCTTGGTTGCGGGCATATCCCCAGTAGGGGGGGTGCAAGAGGCAGCTGATCGATGACTCTTTCTCATCGATGTTTCTAACTCTCTATCTCTCTCCCTTCCTCTCTGTACAAAATCAATAAAATATATTAAAAAAAAAAAAAAAAGAATACCCACTGTCTAAACGGCTCACCTTGGCACATAAGCTATAGACACAGCACAATCCCGCTTTGTTTAAAAACACATACACCATGATGTGTATGCACATGGGTGTGTGGAGGTGTAGACAATACACATGCATGCACACCCACACCAATGACCACAGTGAATGTGACAGTCTCTTTATAATTAGGGAAACGGTGAGGTGAACCTCATGTAAGAGATTAGAACGGAATCGTGGAAAGGGGCATCCGCATCCACACGTACGTTTCTTTTAAAAACACACAACTAACTGTCACGCTTCCTTTAAAAAATGCAACTATTCAACATAAAAAAGAAAACTCGGTAGCAGAAAATCCGAATATGCAGACTTCGCAGGAATTATTTTGATGGAACAAGATGGCTTGGGTGGCACCACAGCCAGCGGGAAGCAGGGGGAGACCGGCCTGGGGTGGTGGTGGTGGCGGGAGCAGGAGTGAGGCCGCCCTGTGGGTGACAGGGTTGGAGGAGGCACAGGGAGGCAGGGAGGCGCGCCCTGCAAGGCGGACGGGGCTGTGTCCAGCTATCAGGGTCTGTTCAGAAGCCCTGCGCTGACGGCAGCCCATAGGCCTGCGGGCCAGGAGCCCGTCTGGAAGCCGAACTGCCCGGGGCTGCAGCATGTGCTTGGGCTCCTCAGGAGAGAGAGCCAGCAGGAGAGAGAGACCAGTGAGCCCCCCACCTCCATCGGCACACGCCTAACACAGGTCCACCCTGGGGCGAGGAGCGTGGATGAGGAGGCCACACCCCAGGCAGAAGATGTTTTGTCCTGGCAGAGCCACTGTGAGCAGCCACCCAGTGTCACCGGGATCCACCTCTGGGGTGGCCGTGAGGCCCCGCCCACCTCAGGGCAGGGAGCATCACCTAGCTCGCTTCAGCCAGCCCCATGATCCCTGCTCACACGGCTCCACCGTGCAGGACCCACAAGGAGCCCCTGAATTACGGACTTGGACCTGAACAGTATTCCCCACCCCTGCACCTCCAGAAGGACCCTCACATCACCATCAGCGGGATGTGCTTCCGAGGTGGGAGAACTGGGAATATCCTCCACAAATCCCTCGCTAGCCACGGCATCTCATGCCAGCCTGCTTCCTGCAGCTCTTCCAGGCCTCAGCGGGAATCACACTCACGGTAGCTACTGATCATCTTCGCTTTCAACACCATGGTCATGAGACAACACCCGGGGAGGAAGGCCCAGCTCCTGCTGTCTACGGGAGGAAGCCCCTTCTACTGTCTACGAAGTCAGCTCACAGAGAGAGAGACCCAGGAGACACACCGGGCCAACAGTAACCAGAAGAGACCCCGAGAGCATTCTCCAGAAATAACCAAAGAAACCATAACGATTTCTCGGGTACCGTGAAAGGCTGAGTGTGGGTGTGGGCACGTGTACGTGGCCACCTGCAGGCCCCAGACCCCGCTCAGTGGCACCAACACCACCGGGCAGGTGTTCCCAGGCCTCCAGCCCACTGGCTAACCGGCAGAGGGAACCGGCCCACCCGCGAGGCACAGCTCCACCCGTTTCACCTTCAAAACAAGAGCCTGGTAAGCAGTGAGTGTTCTCTGAAGAGGACGGGTAAGAAGTCACTGCCAAGGATGCCGGTGGAACCTGGCCACCTGCGTGCCCACACAGGTCCAGCGCCCTCCGAGGCCCGGGACAGTGGTTTGTGTGGGCCCCGGTGGCGATGACAGCAGAGGCCACAGAAAGCCTCGTGTCGGGGCACGACGCTCACCCTGTCCTGGCCGTGTGGCAGGAGCTGGCACACGCGCGCCGTGCGGCCTCCAGCCCCTTGGGTCCGTCTCCGTGGCTGCCTTGCACCTTGTCTCGCTGCCTCCCGGGAGCCCTGGCCCAGGGAGGGCTGTGCCCCCTCTGCTCTCACCGCCCGGCTGTCATTTCTATGAGCCCTTCCACTGTAACGAACAAGAGGCCCCGTGCCTCGGCAGGAACCCCGCCCCCGTGTGGGGAGCCCCCTGGCACGCCTGGCACCGCGTGGGCACGTCTCAGCGATACTTACTGGCTTGCACAGGTCTCGGTCGGTCTTCGCCTCCATTTCCCAGATGTGGTGGCCGTCTAGAAGAAAGGGCACGGAAGGCCGTTACTCGGTGCCTGACCGGGCGCATCCCCCGGAAAAACACATTGTGGTCCAGGCCGACGGCCCGGGACAGCAGCCGCCACATAGGGGGACCGCGCCCCCGCCCCCCTCCCCCTGGCTTGGCCGCGCTGGCTGCTAACCGGCAAGAACAGTGAATGGACACCAGGCCCGGGGGGAGATGCTGGGAGACTCACCCCAAACTCAGGCCCAGGGTACCTAGCGGAGCCCGAAGACCGGGCTCTGCAGGGCACAGCCTGGCTGTGGGGTGAGAGACTCCCCCTGAAACGGCCCTCTGCCCAGTGTCACCCCCACGTCAGTCAGGGAAGGGTTTCCATGCACCCATATCCAACGGAGCATGAGCTCAGGAAAAGCGGGATGGCCCCCCTGAGTGCCCTGTCCCCTCTGCCGCCAGCTCGGCCCCGGTGCACAGCGCCGGAGCCTGCAGAGCCCCGGCCCACGGGGAGCCAGGCCCACAGGGTCAATGAGGAAGTCCTTTCCCTGACTGCTGCTTGCCGGGCCAGGACACAGACGTGCAAAGCCCATGGGACTTTCACCCTCACCCATGGCTGTTTGCATAAAATGTCTCACAAAGGAGCCTGTGGAAGGGCTTTGATCCTGGGACGGGGCCCCGGGGGTTGCGGGGGCAGGTCAGGCCCCCACTAACTGGGACTCTCCACAAACCACCCCGGTGCTTGCAAGCCCCTGTCTGCAGATACACAGCATAGGCACTGGCCCTGAAAGAATTCTGAGTTGATAGATGTCAACACTGTGCGGGCCCCCTTCTCCCCCCCGGCCCGTACTCCCCCCACCCCCAGGCCTCTTTCCTTGTTATTGTTTATAAAGTCAGCGCTCCTATAAGCACTAGTTACATCCTACGCGCTGTTTTCAAAGAAGAAATGTGTGTCACAAATCCTAAATTGTAAGTGAATTAGACAAGCTCCTTTTCATCCCTCACACGGACTGCCGTGCGGGTGGGGTGGAGACGGGGAGGAAGCGTGAGTCACGACCTGCTGGGCCACACCAGCCTCTGGGGTCGCCGGGCCCACCCACGGGCCAGATGCCAACCTCGGCCCCACGGGTCAGTGCCCATGCCCCCCGGCCTGGAAGCATCGGGAGCAACTTTTGGCCGGGGCCCTGCACCCGCTAGCCCGCCCCACCACAGCTTCTGAAGAGTCACTGACTGGCACCAGCACAAACACACACATCTTGATGTCCGAGTTGGTCTTGGAACCCCCAAGTGCATGCTCCTTTCGAAGCCAGGGCCCCCTGTGCCCGGCCCCCCGCCCAGGGCGTGCCAAAGGGCTGGGCTCTGACCCTGCTTCCCAGGTCTTCCTGTCTGTGGTGGATCCACAGCCCCAGGGCAGGCACTGGTGTGTCTGGTCCCCTCAGAGACCCCGAAGGCGCTGATGCCTTTTAAGCAGCTTCTGCTCTCGCACGGCCATCGTTCAGGGAGGCAGGACCGAGGCGTGGAAGATGCCGATGGAGAGAGAACCGCGGCCCCCCCTCCACAGCCTGCCCAGGCCGCCTCCCGCAGAGCCTGCCAGGCCTGGGTGTTGTGCTCAGCGTCAGCTCCACTGGGAAGGGAAATCGGCCTGAATGGCCCTTTGTGTTCAGCTTATCAGGAGCTTGCTAGGCTCTCGGTAGGAAACTGTGCACAAGCCCAGAAGTAAAAATATTCCCAGTCATTAGGGAATTCCCTGCCGCGTGAGTCATCCCAAAGGCTTCCCTGCCACACCCGCCAGGAGGCTCCCGGCAGCCGGCGGCCCTGGCTGCTTGGGTCCTCAGGAGCCTCCCCCTCCCCCAGCTTCCACAAGCTGTCCTGGGACCTCGCCTGGCCTTCTTCTGGGGGCGGGAGGGTTCTGAGTCTCCGATCCGCCCTGGACCTGTGGGCCTCAGGCAGCCGGTGGGCAGAAGCGGTGCAGGAATAACGAAGGGCCTGGGTCAAAGTCCTTGGTTCAAGGGCGAGGACGCCCACTCCTGGGGACCCAGGCTGCTCAGGCCCTTGGCCACACACGTCATCTCCTCCGGGTCGGCCATCGGCCGCGGGAGCGGGCTGCACGCTCACTCACAGTACCAGCCTGCACACGGGACACCTGGGGAGGCACCGACAGAGTGAGACCTGTGTTGGCATCCAACTGCTGGCTGTCGGAGAAGGCGTGTGACGGGAAGATGCCGAGAGGCTTGACAGAGGGGAAGGCCAGGGAGGGGCAGCGGGAGGCTGGTCCCAGGGACTCAGGCCAGAACGGCTGAAGGTGTGTGTCCAGGTCTGTCCCATCGCCGCCTCCGTCCTCGGGACCCTCCCAGGCCTTACTTGACAGCATCCACAGAGCCACTGGGACCAGCCTGCTCGGCACAGAGATGGGAGTGGAGAGGAAATGGCCTACGTGTGGTGGGAGCCAGCCTGGTGGTCCCTGGAGGGTCCCACGTGCAATTTCCAGTTGCAGCCGCGGGACTGTGCCCAGGGAAGGAACATCTTAGACCACGGGAAACCCAGGCACCGGTGCTCACGCAGCACTGAGCTCAAGAGACAAAACGTGGACGCACCCCGAAGCCCCACTGACGTGGACAAACCGCGTGCGGCTGGCCATACAGGGGCACATCCACCTCCATGGCACCGTCCTCACACGTGCTCCTCGGGGACCAGGCTGGAGCATCCGCATGATGACACCGTTCTGGGGTGCGTGACGGTGGAATGGCTCTGATTTACCAAAACCAGTGGACGTGGGCAGGGCAGCTGTGTGGCTATGAGACAGTCACACCTCAAAGCTGACATAAAGCACGTCTCCCACACAACCAGGGTGGCGCTGCTGTGTCGTGGGAGCCGGGGGAGAAGCGGGCGTTGAGGCCAGGCACCCAGCCGTGCCCTCTCCCACGCCCTCCCCCCCAGGAGCAGCACCTGGAGTGATGGCTCTCCACCGTGTGAACGTTGCTTCGGGCAGACCCTGGAGGAAGGGGCCTGTGGTTTGGGGCGAGTCAGAGGGAAGGACCAGCCGTCCGCCCTGAGAGGCTGCGGTGACAGCACACGTGAGGAAGGGTGAGAGGCCTGTGTGGGAGTCCCGTGGGTGCCTGTGGAGACCCTCCTGCCCACACTCCGCCCCATCAGTCACTGTGTCCCGGGGCCATGAGGGGTCCGGAGGGCACGGAGGCCAAGCTGAGCCCCGCCTCCTGGACCAGCAGCTGCACCGTCCACTCCCCTCCCAGGTCCCTCAAAGGCTGACCTCAGAGGTCAGCCTGGCGCCCACAGGAGAGCCCTACAGGGACCGAGGGCCCCTGGGTTGGGCTGAAGCCACAGCCCTCGCTTTGGGGTGAGGACACTTCCTGGGACCTCCCTGAACCTGAGCACGGCGGACTGGGGAGCAGGGGCTGGGATGGGCGGACACGGCCTACCAACACTGCCTGCCCACCCACCTCGCCTCCCAGGGCCGGGCTCATGTCCTCCCAAGGCTATTCAGAACGTTGTGCGATTTAGACTGTCGGGTCATCTTTCCATCCTGAGGCCAAAAACATAGGAAAAGGCCTCCTTAGGACACCAGGCAGCCTGGCTCCCTGCGGCTCGTCCATTCCCCGGACACCAGTGTGACTCCCAGCACGGTCCAGGAAACTTCCTGCCGCCCGCACTCCTGGCCCCGTGCGCTCCCCGGGCTGCAGGGCGGGCACGGCGGAGGTCAGCGCCCAGAGGGCTGACGTGGGGAGCACCGTGACGACAGCTGTCGGGGGTGCACAGATGTCGTCATCCCCTTTCCCGTGTCAGCGCCAGGAAAGTCTGGAAGGAGAGGTCCCTCCTCCATGCCAAGTCACGGCTTCCCGATGTGTGTGCCCCACCACACGCCTGCGGTGTCCCCTCTGGGGAACTTCCAGACGCCGAGGGCACGGGGCCTCCAGCCCTGCGGCCGGACACACGCCGGGTTCCGCACGGCCACGGCCCTGGGACCGGACCAGGGGAGGAGGTGCGGGCTGCTGGCCGGGGCGGTGCTGCGTCGTCACGGAGCACCAGCTGCAGGACTGGGCGAGGGAAACACGACCCCGCGGGCGCGGGCCCAGCTGCGAATGCACCACGGAGAGCGCTCTGGGCACCCGGGCCGGCAGGTGTCACTCACAGCCCACACAGCACAGCCAGGCCGCGGGCTGCAGCCCCTGAGACCACCCTCAGCACCCTGACACACCTGTTCATGCTCACATACCCTCCTCACACGCAAACACCCTCACACACATCTGCTCACTCACACACCCGCTCCCAGTCACCAAATACGCTCACTCTCACGCACCCTGACACACATTCCTTCTCACACTCACACAGCCTGCACACAGTCGTGCACACCCACACACTCACACCTTGCACACTCACTCACACCCTGCACACACTCCTCCTGAACTGGCCCCTCAGGTCCAGGCGTCCCGATGACAGGGCCCCGCTTGCCTCTCATAACTGTTCCCCATGGTGAGGTGAGGATGCCCTCTCGATGCCTGAGCCGTGAGACAAAACTGCAAAAGCGGCTCACTTCCCCCTGGCTTTGGTGAGCACCACGCTCTTTTAAGATCGGTCCCACGCCCAGGCCAGTTTGGTCCAGGGGTTAGTGCGTCGGCCTGAGGACTGAAGGGCCTCAGGTTCAATTCCTGGCCAAGGGCACGTACCTGGGCTGCGGCTTCGATCCCCAGGCCCGTTGGGGTGAGTGCAATAGGCAACCACTCTTACTCTCACCTGCCTTCCCGCCACTTTCCCTAAAATCAATGGGGAAAATGCCCGCCAGTGAGAACTAGTAGCAAAGTCACCTTAGTTCCTTCTGTTCCAAGGGCTGTCAAGGTGCCACCAGCAGCTGGTCACTCCACGGGCTGCTGGGCAGGGGCTGCCGGGCAGGGGCTGCCGGGACCCCCTAGTAAAGGCCAAACCCCAAAGGTCCCAGACGCAGGAGCACTGCCCCTTGGGCCTTTGTGACTGGGTGAAAAGCCAGCAGCCGTGTGGCTGCCACCTACCCCTTCGTGACACTTCTCTCCAGGCCCCGCAGCCCCTCGCTGGCCCAGGGCCTGGCCGACTGCACTGGAGGGGCCTCGTTCCCAATGCCCATCAGCATCGCGGTCCTCTGTCAGGGTCCCTGCTGTCACCTGGACAGACACCCCTTCCTCGGAGCCACATGGCTCGGCCAGCCCTGGAGAAGAGAAGGAACCGCTCCCTGAAACACGTAAAAAGCTGAGTAGCTGTGCGCCTAGGGATTCCTGCGGATTCTGGGAGGCCGTGCCCAAGGCAGGGGCGGGGCAGCCCTGGACGGGGTGACGCCCACGAAAGCCAGGCCTGCTGCTGCTGCAGCTGCAGGAGCCTTCCTGTGAGATTTCAACGCAACGACAGAGGCGTCCAGAACTACGCTCTCCCGCTCACACTCAGCCTGGGTGCCACTGCGCAGCGTCTAAAGACAGCTAAGACAGGTCAGGTGACTTCCCTGGAAAACCAGAGGCTGTTTTTATCTAAATTGACTTAGTGGCTTCTCTTTGTGGGGAAGGGAGGAGAAGGGGGCAAGCACCCTTTGCCAGGAAGAAAACGTGTGGCATGCACTCACTTCTGCAAACCCACAACACGCACATTCCTGTGTGAGCACACCAGCAGCCTCACTTAAATCCAAACGTGAAGTCACCGGCATGTCAGAGGGAGGAGGGCCACGTTTGCATGTCGCTGTCACAGGTGCAGGATGTTTATGTCACACCTGGTCCCCGCCCACTTGTTTGTGTCTGGCCTTCTGCACCGGGTGCCCCAGCTGCTACAGGAGACGGAGGGTGAGGACGCCCCCACCTCCCAATCGGAGCCGGCAAGGGACGGCCTGGCACCCAGCCAGGGAAGCCCCGAGGGGCCTGGGTGAGGCCACCTGGGCATTCCTGAATTGAGCTCCCACACCTGTGAGGCCACAAAGTGAAGACGCCACAACCGAGCCCACAGTGTGGCCTGGGGAGCTGCCTGCAGCAGGGGTCCCGGCACACGGCAGACAGAGCACCTCCAGGAGTCACACTCGTTCCCGCCCTGGAGGCAAGGGACTCGGTCAAGGAAACGGAGAAAAACTGCTCCAACCTCCCCTTTGTGCAAGTTCTGATCAGTCTCCGCTGGACGACAGAGCCCTGGGTTCCTGCCTCGGCGCGCACACACACACACACACACACACACACACACACACACACATTTAAAGCTCAAAAGGTTAAATTATCTTAAGATTAACGTCCTCCAAAGAAGGGTGTTCCAGAAATTCAAATTCCTCTCCTTGTCATCACTCTTAGTTGGTTTTTCTCCATAATTCGAGACAAGTTTTCCAATTATGTGCATGATTACATAGGCAGACAACACTAAACGGGGAAGACTTTTAAGCCCATTCTGAGTGAAGCACTTAATTTGCTTGCAAACTGTACAAAATCAAGGCCCATTATGGAGCTGAATGATCGCGGTTTCCAGCGGTTTGCGTGAGTCCGGCCCTGGCACTCTCAGGAAAATTCCAATTAGGAAATTTGAAAAAGATGAATCAGGCTACCAGCCTGGCCACCTGCAGCCTCCCCTCCCCACTGCAGGGTGGGGGCTGTTCTGCGGACAGGCCGGCTCCAACCACAAACCCGGGAACGCTCACTCTCGTACCTTAACCTGTGAGCGCCCAGTGGCTTCCCCACAGACTCCAATAGAGCATCCCTGGGGCAGGAGAGATGCCACCCCCACATCTATCCCGAGGAAAGGAGCTCTCACCCTCACCCACAGCAGCCTCTGTCCACACCTCCCTCTTCAAACACCGGCCAGAGGTCTACACTCCCCTCAGAATTCTATACTCCCCACAGGTCTGCACTCGCCCACACAGAGGTCTACACTCACCCACACAGAGGTCTGCACTCACCCACACACAGGTCTGCACTCACCCACACAGAGGTCTGCACTCGCCCACACACAGGTCTGCACTCACCCACACACAGGTCTGCACTCGCCCACACAGAGGTCTGTACCCACATAGATCTACACTCACCTACACAGAGGCCTAGAGTCGCCCACACAGAGGTCTACACTCGCCCACACAGAGGTCTGCACTCGCCCACACATAGATCTATACTCGCCCACACAGAGTCTAGACTCGCCCCCAGAGGTCTGCACTCACCCATAGAGGCCTACACTTGCCAGCACAGGTAGAGTCTACACTCGCCCACACAGATGACGTGTACAGATCTCCTGACAATGAGGTCTGCATGGTTCACAGAGAACAGCTGGGGCCTGGAGGCCACCAGTCATGAAGAGAACAGATGGTGGCATCTTGGGGTGCCACCAGCGTGGATGGGGGAGCTGGAGGGTGATGGGGCAGGGAAGGTTGGTGGGCCTCAATGCGGATCCCACTGGTGACTGCGGCTGCCCTGCACCGGGGCTCCTGCCTCTGAGAATCTGTGGTTCTGAGAAAGACCTGGTCTATGTGGGAGGCACCTGCCCAGTCCAGGCAGCGGGCTACCATATGGCCCAGGGGAGAGCATACCACCCACTCGGCAGCCCTCACTGCAGCCCTTGGGACACCGACTGCGTGAGAATGGGCCCTTGGTGACTCCAGAAGGAAGCCTTCCACTGGCATGAACGCTCATGGCTGGATGCAGCCACAGCAGTTACAGAGCTAAGACTAGGCCCACGCCTGTACACACGGGCCCACGCCTGTACACGCGGACCCACACGCAGAGGCCTCGGCCTCCAGGACCCCATCCCCCCAGCACCCGCCCAGAAACACTCGGAGGTCCGTTTCTAAGGAAGGTACCTGGTGCTTTCTCCACGAAGATGACTTTGGAGTCCTGCAGGAAGTTGTGGCCGGACAGGACCATCCTCTTCCCGCCGAGGACAGGACAGCTGGCCACGCTCTGCTTCTCCACCAGAGGCAGCTCCTGCGCCGACCGCTGGGCTGCGGGGTCAGGAGACAGTGAGTGAGGCCCCGCCCGCCCTCCCCAGTGCACCCCAGAAGGCCAGGCCTCTGGGAGCTGCTGCCTTCAGATAGCCCCTCCGTGGACTGTGCGGACGGTGTGAGCCATCACGGGACAACGTGCAGCCCTCCCTCCCCCGCCGGTGCTGTCCCCGGAGGCAGGCCGGCAGAGTGTCTGAGGGTGCGCCACGCACCCGGGTTCTCACACAGCCCAGGGTCCCCCCATCTCTGACGCAGCCACATGGCAGAAAAGCCAGGGCGTTGGGGCAGGTGTGTGCGAGACGACGTGCAGGGACCAGCAGGAGCAGGGAGGCAGGAGCCCCATCCCTGAGTTGGCCCGACGTTAGCGTGGGCAGCTGAGGAACCAAACCAAGGCCCGCCGCCGCTGAAATAGGGGGGCGGGTGAGCGTGAGGACAGGTGAGTTTCCCAGAGCCCACATCTGGGGCTGGGTCAGGCCATTCCGAGATGAGGGAAGCAGGAGTGGTTCTGCCACGGCTGGTGGGTGGGCAGGGCCCCCCCGGGTTTCCTGGGGAGCACCTCAATAGACCTAGCCCAGGGTCCCGCTTCTGGGCAGAGAGAAGGCTGTGGGGTTGTAGGGCATCCAATTTGCTAACAAAGACTAGTAAAACCATCGCAAGAGGAAGGACCCCCAGACCACGCGGAAGCAAGACCATAGGGGGACGCTCAGCTAATGGGAGGGGTTAACGCAAATCCATGGGAAAGGTTAATGCAAATCTGATCACCACAGGGGTCTGTGTTTCAAGACAAACTTCCTTTCACTTTTACCCCAACTCCCCCGTCGGAGCTGGGACCGGTCCAGGCCCTGTACCGACGCTGCTAACCGTGCCTGCCATCACCACACGGGGTGGGACTGTCAGACGGAGGGGTGTGTGCCCAGACTGCCCAGGAGAACGTGTCAGCGGATGGCACCCACCGCTCAGGGCCGCACGGGGGATACTCACAGCACTCGATAGGGTTGGAGGCCACCTGCAGCGACAGCGTGCGGCCGCTGGGCTGAGGGATGTGCACCCGGAACACCAGCCGCACACGCGTGTTCTTCCTGCCGATGTCCGTCTCCCCCTTGCGCAGCTCAATGTCCGAGTTCCGGAGCTTCAGGATCCCGGCACAGTCAATGCTGCCAAAACAAGAGTCCACTGCCTGCTGGTCCCACCCCACGGGCGGGACGGGACGCCTGTCCTCGGCGCTCCACCCGCGCGGGCCCACCCGGCAGGACAGACACACACTGGGACAGGACACACTCTGCCGTCTACCCCGGGATGGGAGTGGGGGGCCATGCAGACAGCTGAGTCCCTATCGCTGTGGTCCCCCTTTGTCTACCCGCACAGACACGGGCAGGCCCACAGCGACGGCCAGTGCGGGGCCTGGAGGGACCTGAGCAGGACATGGCCCCGGGAACCCAGAGTCAGGACCTGCCGTTCCGTCTCGGAGCTAAGTTCATTTGTTTAAGGTTCTGGTAGCAGCCCCATCGCTCAGCTCAAGATCCCAAATTTCCTACAGCTTCCTAGGATTTTGTTCAGCTTCACTGAGCACCAGACTCCGGCACAACAGTCTATGTACAGACTGCCAGGGGAAACAGATACTTTTCCTTTCAGGAAGCTGGAGGAGGCAGACGCTCAGACACTCAGCGGGTCCATTGGTGCGGACTGGGGACCAGCGATGGCTCCAGGTGTGTCCCTGAACCTGGACGGCTCTCACCGACGTCACAGCTGCTGCTGCTGAGGACCCGTGGGCTCTCCTACCACCAGACTGCCTGGTCTGTGGGAAACTGACTCCAGCTCTTGAGCTAAACCCAGGGGCTGAGAATGAACTCAGAGGTGTGGGCAAATCCGGGGAAAATCCACAAGAAGAGAAAACTTTCCCTCTGTTTTCAACTTGAACGGTTTCCTTCCAAAACTTACCAAAATTCCACTCGAAGCCCTCCACACTGTGGCCTGGCCTGGCCTACCTCCCACGCTGTCCCCATCAACACCCCAAACTCGGCTGCCCCAGGGCCTTTGCACACGCTGTCTCCTTGCATACCCAGCTTGCTGCCTCAGGGACACTGTCCTGACCTTCAGGGGCCACCAAGCTCTGATACACCACCCTGGGCCCAGCAGGATGTAAATCCCATGGGATGACTGTGGTCTCTTTCTCTGCGGCGTCCGCAGCTCAGGAGTGACGTGCACAGCCCCCGGCAGTCCCTCAATTAGAGGATTCATGAAACCATGAGTACCGGCCCCATTCAGATGTGAGGCGTGTAAGCCTCAACTCTAAACTAGCGAGTCGGAGCTGACTACACGTCAAGGACTCGGAGAGACGGGGGCCCACAGACTGCAGCCCAGACACGGTGTTCTCTGTAACTGTTCAACGTTTGCAGGTTAACCGTGCCTCCGGTTGGGGCCCTGCCTGGGAGCTGAAGGCAGGCACTGGGGGAAGGGGGTTGCTCACAGCTGCAAGGCTGTTTAACTGGCTGAGACCCCAGAAAGACAGAAATCGTCACTAATCTTTGTGAAGTTTATTTAGGAACTGGGCTACTGAGCCGTGGGGCGTGGGGGCTACGAATGCCGAGCACACACTAGCCGTGCCCCCGAGCACCCAGGCCGCGTGGCGGGCAGCGCTTACATGGCTCTCATGTTGTTCTCTGGCAGGAGCGGGATCTCCAGGACCTTGGTGTTGGAGAGCACAGCCTCGTGGCTGGTGGTGGACACGGTCTTCCCGGTGATGCGGTGCACCTGGTAGAAGGCATGCGGCCGCAGCAGGCGGTCGTCCGCCGTCCCGATGAACAGCTGCAGCGTGAGGGGCTCGCTCTCCAGGTAGCCGTGGAGCTGGCGAGAGAACAGAACCCGCTCAGCACCCGCGCACGGGCCGCGCAGAGGCAATTAAACTTTCATGAGCAGAGTCAAATTCAAAAGGAAGCCGGTGACAGGTGCTCAGGGTTAGTCTCTCCCCCTCGGCCCCTTGCTTCTCTGTGATAATGAAACCGGGAGCCCGGAAAGGTGCTGGGGCAGCTGGTGACATGCAGGCTTTCAACACTGCTGCCTATGTTCAAGCATACACAGGCACACATGTACTGACTCACACACGTGTGTACACACACGCATGTGTAGCTACAACCACCGCTGTGACCAGCATGCAGGATGAGGACAGTGACGATGCTCACAGCCGTGCTGTCTTCTCTGCAGGACAGGCAGGTGGGAGGGAGCCCCAGTTCCTCCCAGCACACAGTTCCTCCCAGCACACAGTTCCTCCCAGCACACAGTTCCTCCCAGCACACAGTTCTTCCCAGCACACAGTTCTCCCAGCACACAGTTCCTCCCAGCACACAGTTCTCCCAGCACACAGTTCCTCCCAGCACATGGGTCCCTCCCAGCACATGGGTCCCTCCGGGAGGCAGCTGCCTATTCCTCAGACCCACCTGCCTTCCATGTTCACCATAGCCTGCGAGGACACCCTGTGTCCGCTTGGCCAGTGACAGCTGTGAGGACCCCATGCAGCTGGGGGGCGCTATCAGAAAATTGGGCGACACTGACTAAGCCGCTTGTTTGGTAGAATCAAGTGCCCAATGGGACATGATCCTTCTCCCTGTCTCAGACGGCCCTTCAGTAGGACCAGCTGAAATACCAGTAGCTCTTTCAGTATCACCCCCGTGACACCATCCACAGGCTGTCACACGCACAGACCAGTTTGCAGCCCCTGAGAAGCATGCATTTGCAGCTTCCGGTAACTCCCAGCAGCTCCGGGACACCCAGCACGGGCTTGCTCAGGGCCTGGTCTATGCTGTCCTGGCGAGCACTCTGCAGCCGCCCATCAATGCTCACAGACCACACCTGTCCCCTGCTGTGGCCCATGGAGCAGGAGACTCTGAACGCCCTGGGGAGAGGAGATGGAGCCAGACGAGGATGGTGCACAGAGGGTGAGTACAGACATGTCCCCAGTCTGAACCACAGGGACAGTCCACTCATGCACACTCATCATGCACACACTTACAGGCATTCACATTCAGACATGCATACACACACACACACACACACACACACACACACACACGATCACATGCACACTCAGCCACCCCAGCCCCTCTGGAGCCCTGTGTGTGGTTGGGAGACTGCACTCCCGGTTGCAGTGTGCGTGTCCTAGTCTTAGCTCTGTCTGCCTGCCTATGCCTCGGTCCTGAGCATTGCCAACGTGATTGACCTCAAAGTGGTCTTTTCCTATTAAAACAACCAAGTGTCATCCTGACTCTCGGGTCTCTGACACGTTTGAACTAAGGACAGTGTGCAAGGCCCGTCTCCCACCTGCAGCTGACACACCTGAGTTTCCACATGGAACCGGAGAGGCTGGCAGGAACAGAGAGCTGGGCTTAGCATAGGGTGTGGGGTGGTCTCTCCCTTGCCTGCTCCGTTCACGTGCTCTCCTCCTGGCTGTGTGCAGGTGAACACCAAGGCAGACCTCCCCGGTCTCCACAGGGAACCCACCAGCACCTGGCCCTCACCTCAGGTGGCTCTTTACCTGCAGGAACAACGTATGTCCCTGTGGACTGAAGACCTTTCCCCAAGTGCACACAGGAACTTCTGCACGGGAACGGTGGGCAGTGAGTACAGGAGACCGAGCCCACTGTCCAGGCCATGCCTTCCCACCTCCTTCTGGGAGTGTGACTCCAGTCTCTGCCAGGTTAGTGAACTTACTAAGGAACCTAAGTCCATGCTGGACCCAAGCACCCAAGCCTACATCTTATAATAAAAAAATATTAAATTTAAATCAGAGGTTGATGAAGAGATAAATTTTGCCATTCTGTGTCCTATTTGGTAAACTTGATGCAAGAAAATGAGTCTTTGGCCTAAACTTTGTCTCGTGCAGCTCAGGTGAGCTCCACAGAGCCAGGAGGCAGCCCTGCTGGCCTGACATGGCTGGGCTAGGGTCAGATATTTTGAAAATGACAATTTAAAATCCCCCAGGGACTCCTACTGTGGGGATGATCAGATGGTATGGGATGCAATGGATTGTGGGTATAACTAGCCTTTTAAAAACATGCTATTTCAGTGAAAATGGGAATAAATGGGGTTTAACCTGGGAGGTAAACATCTATTATTTAAAACATGAAGTTCATTTTAAGAAAAGTAATTTAAATACTTCACACATTGCACTGCATAGTTTTCAGCCTCTGGCACATTATAGTATCTGTCAGGATAATATTTAGGATAATATTTATAAAATTACCTGTCATAACAATGACCTCTCTATGCTAAACAAAATGCATTATTCCATTTCAAGGTATAAGAGCTACTGAGTTTTCTACACATAAAAATGTTTGTTTTTAGCTCCTGTGCTTAGCTCAGCACTTACACGGAAGATGATGACAGGTGAGGGAAGAGATTGAGGTCAAGTTTATTCAATATTGAAATTCAAGCAGTGCTCCCGAGCCCATTCCCCCCAACACATTCGCACACATGCACACACACATACACACACACATACACACAGGACATACACGCATATACGTACACATACACACATACAGGGGAAGGCAGTATCATGTGAACAAAGAACCAGTTGAGGGGAATTGATTCCTTTTCAAGTAGCCACTCTTAGTTGTTAACTCACAAGCTAACCAAGGACATCTTCATAAAAATCTGCTCAAAGGGAAATTATGGCCCGGCCAGTGTGGCTCAGTGATTGAGCGTTGACCCAGGAGCAAAGGGAAATTATGCATTTAACCCAGATGTCAAATTTGTGTCTTTACCTGATGCCAAAAGGAACTATGACGGGAGGGAAAATCCAGTTCTGAAAAGGGTTTCACTTCTTTTTACCCAAATGTTCCTGCTATGGATTAACTCGGAGGCTGTAGTATGAGCATTGTCACATTAATTACACGTGCAGTCCCCAGATCCTCACGGCCAACTGCACAGGAGGCCGGGCCTCGCAGCGAAGGCGGTGGCGAGGGACAAGTCGTGGGGACGCTCTGTGAGCAGTGTTCTTACATCCCACATCTCTGCTAGATAATGGAGAGAGAAATCACAGTCTCTAGCACCCATTCTGGGACAGTGACAGGGGTGGCCATGAGCTCGTCTGGGGCCACTGTCTGTGGGGGGAGGGGCCTGCTGTGGTGACAAGTGATCGTCAAAGCACAGTTGACAGTTGTAAAGACACTGATTTCTTGCCTCCTTATTAAGTGGAAAACTAGAAATAACCAGTGGCAACAAAATGGAGCCAAAAGTCACAGGAAAAGCCCCCAAACTGTGTGAGAACACGTGTGAGCCCAGGCACCTTACCCCACCCTCTGGGCCACACTTCCCCAGGCATCTGCTAAACGGGATGCAGGCAGAACCCAGGCATTTGTAAACGTGAGTTTCAGGGCCACAGCCTCCCGGTTCACGATGTCCTGCAGGTTAAAGCTGCCAGATGAAGGGCCCAAGATACTCACTTCCTCACAAGGCTGGTTGGTGTGTGTGCCAGTGTGATGTGTGTACACGTGTGTGTGCATGTGCCGGGCGCCAGGGTATGCAGATGTGCAGGGATGAGGATGCTGGCACTGGCTCTGGGCTCAGTCAGCCCAGGAGAACCGCCCTACAGTGACAGCGAGTGATGGGAGGATGTGGATCTCCCCGTAGGACGGCGAGAACAGAGCTGGCTGTGCACCTGCAGCTCCCACCAGGACTCACGTGCAGAGCTGGTCTCAGTGACTCATGTCTCAGCAGGCCACTCTTCCCAGCTCCCATCGTGTTGTGCATGTGTATAGGTGTGCACCGTGTACATGTGTATGCATGTGCAAATGTGTGTGTTGCATGTGTGTATGTGTGCACGTGTGTGCGATGACCCAATGTCCACACGGAGTTTACACCACAAAGTGTCACCTTACTTCTAAGAGCAGTCCTTGTGGATGCTGCTGCTTTAGTACTGAGTCAGACCATGCGTGTTCTCTCAGACAAAACCAGGCTTATGCCGTAAAATGAAATGGTGTAAATCGCCAGGACACGAAAGCCTTCCAGCCACAGTTTTTAAACTGCACACAAGTCACAGACTCGGTTCTGGCAACAAAAAGGCTCCACAAGACCGCACAATGTTCCTTGCAGGAAAAAGAGTTCCTAGCATTTCTGGGTTTTGTGTGTGACTTTTTTCTACTTTTCTGAAAAGGCAGAAAACGAGTGAGGACCATGTTCAGAGAGTTTATCTGCGTAAATATTTGAGAAGCCGAAATGCCAGGGACGTGGCCCGAGGGCCTCTGTCCACGCTGGGCCACCCCGCTGTCTTCCGAAGCACACGCCTACCTGGCTCCGACCCCTCCCCGCAGGCGGCTCCATTCCATAGGGAGTGGCGCTCCCAAGGCCTCTCCTCGCAGACCTTGCACTCAAAGCGCCTGCACTTCCTCTCATCCCAGAGGGGGCCGGGGCCTGACGTGTGAGGACGCCCAGGCGCTGGCCACGCCCTCCATGCAGGGGAGGCACCGTCCGCCCTGCGGTGGCCTCTCTCCTGCCTGCTGGGCTGCCCCGGAATCCTCATCTCAGGGCATCCTGTCTCACTCCAGCCCCTCTGCCTCCACCTCTGTGTCCCAGGATGGGACGCGGCTTCCACATGGAAGGTCGTGACGGGATTTGGAGAGGAAATGTCCGGTCGAGCTCTGGGCTCGGGCCCCGGCCACGCTGTCGCCATCAGGGCCCAGGGCATCCAATTCCCATTCCCGGGCTGAGTGGGCAGCGTGGGTTTGTTCCAATGCCTGGTGTTTCCTCAGGCCCCACTTCCCAGAGCTCTCCCTGAGGCATATGGGAATTTCTAGAAATAGAAGAAGCCATAGGTTTCCAGCAGGCGGGATGGCCCTGGGGCAGCTGAACCGGATGAGGTGCTCGGACACACAGGGGCTGGTGGCAGAGTGAGGCCCGGTGGAGCCTCCTCACAAGGCCACTTCCCCGAAGCCACAGCTGCCCGCCTCACACTCGGGCCTGAATGTAGTGGCAGTGCAGGGCGGGAGGGGGCAGGCGTGGTGGGTCAGACCTGGCAGGGGCGGAGGCCCCAGGAGCCCTGAGAGGCACAGCTCGTGTGGTCAGAGGTCATGACCGCTGTGCCCCTGGAGCCATCGGAGGGAGAGACTGTAAATCACCTGCCCCAGGACAAGGGCTGTCCCAGTGAGCAGAGGGACAGAGGGGAGCCTCCTGGAGGCCATGCCTGGCCTGTGCTTGCCATCCATGAGTCAGGGCTGGTGCTGGGCCTGGACACCTCACAGGGGCTCCTGCACTGGTACATGGGCAATGCCGGCCAGATGCCCAATGCCCACCGGCCAGACACCAGCCTGCCGTCAGCTGCCCTGCCCCTGGCACCGAGTGCTGTGAGGGACAGACACTGAGTGGCCGGTCAAGGGGCAATTGTGTGCCCGTCTCGATGCTGACCCAGAGCTGTATCCGGACAGGGGGCCCCGTGCTCTCGGAGAGAGGTGAGGCCATTGCCAGCAGCTGGGACAGCGTGCCCAGCGACCCGGACTTGGGCCCAGGCCGTCAGCACTCGGGTGCCACAGTCCACAGTGGCTTAGGATCAGTTGTGTAACAGCAACTCGGGAGGTGATGTCCCCCCTCCCGGGGCCCCTCCTCACACACAGAACAGCCTTTGAACGCAGTGGACGAAGGTGAACCGGGGCCCACCAGCCCTCACCCCGCTGCTCATTATCATCGTCACCGGCCTCCACCTCGCCACTCACAGCCACTCGGCTTTGCAGGAAGAGGAAAGAGCACGCCACGGCCTCACCAGCGCCTGACACAACAACGGAGGCCCCACACGAGGGTGCAGTCCTCGGGCTCCTGGGGACCTAGCCCTGAAGGAGCCGACCACCTGCCTAGATGCCCTGAAAGAGTAGAGGGCAGGTGCCCAGCGGCTGAGCCGACCCATGAATAATTAATCCGCCCCCAGGCAGGTCAGCGGCATGCGGCTGCGGGGGTGGGGAGGGGGGCACGGGTGTCTGGTGGGCTCAGACCTGCATTTTAAAGCCGCAGCCCAGCCTTGGGCCCCCGTGCCGGGCCCTGAGCAGACCTGCAGCTTGGCTCCAAGGCGGACCTAGGGTTTGCTGTGAAATAGGGATTTGCTTCAGGGATAGCCACGTCTCTGGCTTTGTGAACCCCTGCCTTCCCAGGTTAACAGTGCCGCCTCGGCTGTGGACAAATGGATGGAAAGTGGGATGAAGCTGTGGGTAAACACGCATGTTGTGGCCAGTGGATGACAGGGAGTCACCGTTTGTCCCCGGATTTGAGCCCCCCTCAGGGCCTGAGTCTCACAGTGTTGAGCACTCAGCTGCCCCTACGAGCTCGGGGTGGGGGTGCGGGGGTGTGGAGGGGGGTGCGCCGGGAGGAATGGGGGGCTTTATAAAATGAAAACTGTAAGAGCCTAACTCTGGATGCTGACTTGAACCATCGGACAGGAAGCAATTTCGTTCATTCTGTGGTTTCAGCTCTCACGTGTCAGGACGACGAGAGGTATCTGCCCCGTCTGAGCCCAAGCCTGAGGCTGGGGGGATCCCCGTGGCCAGGGTGAGGCCTGAGCCCAGCAGGGCTCAGCTGGCCCCCAGCTCTGGATCTGCTCCTCCTCGGCCGGACAGGGATGACGTGGTCACTCATAACTGACCAACAAACCCAAAATGCTGTTCAGGAATCGACAAAGCCTTTGCTGTGTTTCACATTTCCATGGCTGATTCATTATTCATACACCGACCTCCTGCGTGATGGGCTAGATGCTATCGGCAAAGTAGTTTTGGTGACTTGGTAAACAGAGCTTCGCCCTTCGACCCCTGGGTCAGAGAGCAGCGGCCTCCCCAGGCGGCTCCTCGAGCCCCGACAGAAGCAGGGACACAGGACACCCCAGACGGGCTCTCTGGACGCTCACATGAGCGGTGTTCTGGGGGTGGGGACACGGACGGCAGAGCAGAGGGACGAAGGAGGCCGGGACGGAGGCCGGAGGATGACAGGAGGCGGGGCTTCAGGTGACAGAGAAGAGACGATTGGCTGGGGCTCGGTGACCCGTTCTCTTCTGAAGAAGGTGCGGCACCAGGCCCAGCTCCTCGGGGATGTCACTTCTGCTTTATTCGTAACAACACGGGGAGAGGCCAGCCTGCCCATCTCCCTGGAGAGGCATCTTCCTGCCGTCCATCCAGGCGACGACCTCTCTGCTTTCCTGTCCCTGAGAAGGTGGCGGAACTGCCCCTTCTCAGAGCCGCTGCTGTCTCCAGAGCCGTGCCTGCCTGCCTGGTCATGGGGGGGCGGGGGGCGGAGTGAGCTGCCCTCGGGCTTCCCAACATGCCTCCTAGTGCTGTCGGTGACCGGAGAGTCCAGGAGAGTCCTGAGTGCGGAAGGCGGCCTGCACGCTCCTGGACCCACCCACTGGGCGATGCTGGGTGAGCCACGTGGCCCCTGTGTCCCCTCACCGTCCGGGAAGGAGGCTGTTGCTGTGGTGGGTGCAGAGCAGGGGCTGTGGGACAGCTCGGCGTTTCCTCCTGCAGAAGGTCGTGGGCTCGCTTCCCGGAAAAGCTCTGGGAGATGTGGAAGGTCTGACCGCCAGAGGTGCCCGGGACAGCGCCCTTTAATCCGGCGAGAGTTCCTGGGTCCGCCGGGTGGCTCTCCCTCCATCCACGGTGACAACAGTTTGATCAGAACAGCGGCCGGTCACGTCGGGCCGAGGCCCCGTGATCTCGGCCATTTCTGAAGGAGGCGAGGGTGCGGGTGTGGGTGCCGGGCAGGGCAGGCTGTGGGCACCGAGCCATCACAGCTCATTTGTTTTACAACTGTGTGCAAACGCACTCTTTATCTGACGTGTGGTCCACCAACCAAAAAAGACCACCCCCCCCTTCCCCTGAGCAAATCCCTTCTTTTTCACGCTTGCCTCATACCTGCACAGACACAAACGCGCTGGCACCAAGAGGTCCGAAAGTCCTCCATGACCAGCACCTCACGGCGAGATGCTGGCAGACACTCTGACCCTTGTGCTTGGGCACCGATGGGGGTGGGGCTGTCTGTTCTGTTTAAACACGGAGCCAGGCCCTCCCACTTGGCCGTCCTTTAATTTGAACAAATTCCTGAGGCCATTTTAAATGTTTATAATTCCCCCAAAAGGTGTCAGTGCTCCCAGCTGTCACACTGATGGTGACACCCCAGCCGCCCAGGACACTGAAGGGGTGAAGATGGACACAAACTTTCTCCCCTGGGACAGTCCCCAGCCGCCAGTGAGACACAGCACCCCCGCCGCCCCACATCGCCCGCGTCCCCGCGTCCCCCCTTCCGGCATTCACAGGCTGCGGGCGGGCTTTTAGCTCTCGCTGCTTTCTCCTTGTTCCTCTCGCGGCTGGAGCGCCTCTCCCATTCAGCCACAACCACATCATCCATGGAAACTGTGGCCAGAAAGGGAGTTAAATGCCTGCAGCCGTGGAGCTCGGCTGGACGCAGGCGTGCCTGACCTTTCTCCCCCAGGAGGCGGCAATTTAAAAGGTCCCGGGCTGTGCCGAGTTGAGCAGCCAACCAGGCAGGTATTACCCGGGGCCAAGTGCATGGCCACAAGTGCCCCCTACCGTCCCCGCGGGGCTGAGTGCCGCCCCTAGCGCCTGCCTGATGGCGCTGATTGCCGTGCCAGCTGCTGCGTTGGCCGGCGTGCCCTCCTCCCTCCCAAGCTCTTATTGATTTCAGTGGAATAAAGCCTAGCACGGGCGCCCGCTGGCATCATCTCCGAAAGCGGGGCCGGGCTTGGCAGTGGTGGGCACAGCTTCGGGGAAAACGTTCTTGTCATCGCCGCATGGCCTGGAGCTCTGGGGCGAGGCCCGCCCACCCCCAACGTGATGGTCACACCAGGAGCCTGAGGGGGAGGCAGGGGGGTGGGGAGGGCAGGGATCACAGCTTCTTAGGTGACCTGTGACCAAGGGAAACTGTTGCCTGCCCACAGCCCCCGGGGCCTTCAGACCCACTGCCCGGGGGGAGCAGGGGTCAGGGTTAGGCCGGCAGACGACCCCTGTCCCTGTCACGGTGACCACAGTGCTCCCCGGACACCAGCTCTAACCCTGAACTAAGGTGACCAGACGTCCCGCTTTTTAACACTTTGTCCCGCGTCCCTCGGCGTTTTTAAAAAAGTCCCGATTCTTTATTGTTAAAAGTCGGGACTGTCCCGCCCAAATCGGGATGTCTGGTCACCTTACCCTAAACCCTACTTCCTCCAAAGTGCCGTGAGGGGGTGGCACCGGCCCTGCCGCCGGGCCCCGCCCCCCATGGCTGCAGCTGACCCACCCCGCGGCAGCGAAAGGAGCAGCACGGTGTCCCTCCGCCTCCGAGGCACCGGGGAAACCAGGCCTTCACCAGACACAGAGCATTTCGAGAGACCGGTTGGGAGGGGATAGCTTATTTTTAAGGAGGGAAAAGGAGGAGATGCTAGTGGTCGCCACGAAGCTGCCTACGGACCCGAGAAGCCCGGGCGAGCACGCCGTACCTGCACGCTGGGGTGTCCCCCCGCCGACGCCTTCACGGCCCCCCGGCTGCCCTCCGTCTCGTAGTGGGCTCTGTGGTGGGACTTGGGCTGCACCTCGATCCTCAGCTCGTAGGGCCCCGAGTGCGACGGCAGCTGCCAGTCGAGGGCAGGGAGCGAAGGGCTGGAAGAGAACAGCACAGCGTTAGACCCGGCGCACGGCGCCCCCTCGCCCCGGCAGCGAGGCCACGTCCTCACCCAGGCGGCTCAGTCCCTGGGGCCCGTGGCCAAGGCCTGGCGAGTCTTCGCAGTGAGGCTCCCAGAACAGATGGGAACATCTCCCGTGGAGGACCTTACAGAGGGCCGCCGAGAAGGCACATGAATATTCTTTAAATTGTCAGCTGAGCCCGAGGCACTGGCAGAGTACCTTGGTCCAGGTGTCAGCAGGGGCAGGGCTAGATATGTAAATCCAGTAATGCGAGGGCCTAGTTCAGAATGCAGATAAGCTCCTTTGACCCTATAAATAAACCTGCTTCGTGGCTTGGGGGGTCGCTTGCTGCCTCTCCATCAGAGAGGGGGGCACCCACCTAGCGCCCAGCTTGATGAATCTATTTCTGCCTCTTTGTCTCTTTCTCTTTTCAATAGTTCTTAATCCTCATCTCTTCCACTCAGGAACCTGTCGGTTTCCGTGATGGACACGGAAAACAGAGAAACAGCCTCCTGCAGGACCTCACACTTTCCTCCCGAGCGACGGGCCCAAAAAACAGCGGACCCTCCCTAGGAGCTCAGCTCCAGGCTATCGGGACTTCTTCCCAGCCACAGGGGGCCGCCTGCTCAGGCCGTTTCTCCCTCAGCACCACCTCAGTCACCTCCAGAGACAGTCCATCCTGTAACCTGACCAGTAAAAGTGGGATAGATACGTGTGAGGGGGAGAAGGAGAGAAACGCCAGTCACGGGGCCGGGCATGGGCGCCAGCACCATGGAAACCAGGCTCACCTCTAGAGTGACTCTAAAGGGCAGCTGTGGGAGCTCACGGGGGCGGGGGGGGGGGGGGGGCGCATTTCCTGGGTGAGTTCCCGCATCACCTGCTCTGTGTCCCGCACCACGGCCAGGAGCCACCCGAGCACGAGGCTTCCACACGAGGGACGCAGCCCTCCGAGGGCCCAGGGAGGGGACGCAGTCATGACCTTTTACAGTGTGCGCCTCCCCCCAATTCCCAGACAGACACTGAGACTCCAAGGCAGCACCTCCTTCTAGACCCGTGGTCGGCAAACTGTGGCTCACGAGCCACATGCGACTCTTGGGCCCCTGGAGTGTGGCCCTTCCACAAAATATCACGGCCTGGGCGAGTCTATTTTGAAGAAGTGGCGTTACAAGAAGTTGAAGTTTAAAAAATTTGGTTCTCCAAAGAAATTTCAGTTGTTGTACTGTTGATATTTGGCTCTGTTGATTAATGAGTTTGCCGACCACCGATAGTGGTATCAACGTGCTGTTTCTATGTTGCATTACTGTGTATAAACTGCTGACCTAGGTAACGAGACTGCTATCTTTTACTATAAATAGGAAAAAAAAAAAAGAAATAAAAAGTTAGGTCCATCTGATTCTCAGAAAATTAAAAAGAAAAAAAAAAGAGCGTGAGAGACGGTGAGGGGGCGGGAGGATCGAGGAGGAAAGTTACGACGTGTCTTCTAGAGCACTTTGCCCTTGGATGTCACAGAGTGAACCTGTGTGAAGAACGTGCTCTTGTCTCGCTGAGAGTCAGCCACACACTGTGCACGATTTAAAGTTAGAACGGTTCACAGAATACATACTGTATTGCGGATGACGAAAATGATTGCTTTTGCCTGGAAATGCTCGGCATGGGCTTGGCAGCTCCACCTAAAGTGCGAGTGCACCTCTGGTCCGGGCGAAACGTGCCAGCCGGTGGCCGGGCGAAGCGGTGACTCGCGGCCACCCCTCCTCTCTCCTCCCAGCGCCACCCCAGCTCGGCCGTCAGGAGCCTCAGCCCCAGCCTCGGGCTTTGCTGCCTCAGTACAACAGACTCGTCCGTGCTTCCAAGTCACCTGCGGCCTCATTCAATTTTTTAGAAATCACACGTGCCCTGGCTGATGTTGCTCAGTGGTTGGAACATCGGCCTGCCCATCAAAAAGTCTTGGGCTTGATTCCTGGTCAAGGGCATGTGCCTGGGTTGCAAGTTCAACCCCCGGCTCTCACATCCATTTTCTCTCCCTCCCCAGCCTCTTCCCTTTCTTCCACACGCTCTAAAAATCAAATAAACAAATATTCTGGGGTGAGGATTAAAAACAAAACATAAATAAGTAAATGAATGAATGAATGAATAGTAAGTAAATAAGTAAATAAATAAATACAGAGAAGGTAAATACTCTCATGCCACCAGCAGGAATACTGCTGGAAATCTCTAGATTCTTTCTTTCTTTCTCTTTCTTTCTTTTAATATATGTTTTATTGATTTTTTACAGAGATGAAAGGAGAGGCAGCTGATTGATGATTCTCAATGAGAGTTAGACACATCAATGAGAGAGAATCATCAATCAGCTGCCTCTTACACACCTCCTACAGGGGATGTGCCTGCAACCAAGGTGCATGCCCTTGACCGGAATCAAACCCGGGACCTTGAAGTCCGCAGGCCGACGTTCTATCCACTGAGCCAAACCGGTTTCGGCTGAAAATCTCGAGATTCTACAGTCCTGATTTCTTACCCTGCATTTTATTAAAGGCAGAGTGGCCCCAGCCGGCCCATCCCAACAGCCTGCCCTCTGGGTGCGAAGACCACTCCGGAGGACACAGAGTCGCCCGTGGCACACGGAGCTCACCACTCCAGGCTGCTGTGGTCGTCTGTAAGGTAAAACCTAAGGTTTCATCAACAGTGGGATTTCATCAACAGTGCTGGGAGCGTCATGTGAGGAGCAAATTCAAAACCGCAACAGGAGTCATGCACTCAGAGGACTGATCGGAACAGTCTTGGGCGCAGGGCTGGCTCACGCCGCCTTTGATTTGCAAAGTCTCAAACACCTTCCTACCCACAGGCCCCTGCTGGGCCAGGCCCGAGGCCGCCAAGGCCGACCCTGCAGAGCCCTCGCGGCTGCTCTTCCAGGGAAAGCCTGCTCGGGACCAGCCGGCGGCTTCCAGGGAACTACATCTCTCTCCTGCCTTCTTGCTCAGGTTCCTCCCTTGTAAAATGGGGGCGATAGGAACTCCACCTCGCTAAGCTACTGGGAGATCCATAAGGTTCTAAGAAAAGCCTGTCATCCGTACTCTGGTCTCCTACACACACACACACACACACACACACACACACACACACACACGCACACACGCACACACACACGGCGTCCACGGAGGTCTCCCCGCTGTCGACAGTGTCGGTTACAGGGACGCTGGCGGAAGAGGACAAGGATCTCTGCCATTTTCTGTGAACCTGGAATTCTTGCAAAACAAAATGTTTTTAAATGCTGATGGTTGGGCCCGTGCGTGAGAATCAGAGTACGTTCTACTAACATCATCCCCCCCGGAGGGCTAGCCCGCTGCCCTGGCCCGAGTCTGCCCGTCCGTGTGGAGTGCCTGCGATGCCCATCACGTGGCTGCTGTCACTGACACCCTAGGGGTCACGGGCAGGAGCCAGGTGACGGGTGCCCCCCTGGCTCCCCGGTCTCTGCCAGGGATGCTGCGCCAGCCCTGCCCCCGCGCTGGGGACGCCCCGGTGATAACGCAGGGAAGCGAGTCATCGCTGTGCGTGGGCGGCCTCCCCAGGTGGAAAAGATGCCTCCCGGTTTGAATCACCCTGCTCTCGGGGCTGCTGTGACCGCCGTTTCCCATGAGAAAAGCCTTTCATTTTCTGTTGAGCGTTTGCGTTTCCTTCACATAGAAGACGTGTGAAGGATTCTTCTAACCACTGTTCACGGTAGCCGGACCTCCTACACACTGTGATCCAGAATGGGAGAGCCGCTCAGGGTTTTCCTCCGTCCGTATCTTCCACCGGGGGCCACGCCGTCCCACTGGCTGCCCACCCCTCGGCTGCATCTGAGGAGTCGGCCGTGGGGACCCTCAGGGAGGGCTTCTTCCCACCCAGCCCCTGCCGCCCACCCGCTCGGGGGACTGGTCTGTCTATGGTGGGAGGGTTTCACGAACAGCAGCACCGGCGTGAGGCCCTGCTCCGCTCATGGAGCCCCCGGGGATCCCAGGATCCCTTCTCTGGGCAGACCCCTCGCCGACCTCCACGGTCTCCACAGATGCAGCTCAGCACCCCATTCCCGGCCACGGCCCTGCGCCCCCACCCGCCCGGGGGACCTGGACGCACCCCCACCCACGGGAACAGACACTGAGACCGGCAGGTGCACCCCAGAACTCAGAAGGTGGCCTGGGGACAGTTCACTGCTGACGATGGTGCTTCAGGCTCATGAGCCGTCCCGCCTCCTCTCGGCCCCCTGGACTGGCAGGGCCCCACCCCTACCCCCTTGAGATCCCAGGACTGAGGGGGCAGAGCAGGCACAAGCCAGGCCTTCAAACCGAGCCTCTCGATTTAAAACGGAAAACCATTTCATCAGTGACCAGGGAGAGAGACACAGGCCCGCCGCCCAAGGGCGATCACCACGTGGCCAGACAGGAAGCCAGAGTCTCAGCAATCCCCCAGATCCTGCACCAATCTGAGAAAAACACACGGAACACGGGACGGACGAGGAGCCAGGCGGCACGTGGCAGCCGGAAGAATCGGGGGAAGCGTCAGGCTTCATCCCAGCTGAACTGGGAGGGCGGGGGAGGCAAAGCCTCAGGTATCGTGTGACTCAGCGGAGTTGAGGAGTTCGATGACCCTCAGGGGTTACTTTTAAGTTACCTGTTGGTATCTAATACGATAGCTATGGGACCATAATTCTAAAAACGAGTCCCATCTTCCATCTCACAGTGAACGTTTTGAGAAAAGGCCAAATGACGTCAGGGCACACTAACGGGGGGGGGGGGGGGGGGGGGCCGGGCGCTGGGATCGGTCGACCCCGAGCTGTTAGCTGCCACGTGTCTGTAATAATCGTGAGCTCAACATCCTTCGTCAGAGCGAGTGAACGGCCCCAGGCACGAGAGGACCAGCTGAGCGGCCCCTGGGAGACTCGGTCTTCCATCTCCACCACCTCCGCTCAGGGGGCTTCAGAACCCGGTTGTCTCTTCGCTTAA